AACCACGGAATCCGGGGGTGCCTAACACCTTCCCTCGGGTTAACATAATTCCTTATTCAGAATTTCTGGTTCGCAGACTCCATCCGGGAAGTCGAAATTTCCTCGATTTGGGATTCAAGATAAACTGGTGACTTGGGACACCAAAAGCCAAACCTATCCCAAGTGGCGACTCTGAATAAATAAATAATCTCATTTCGAATAATGTCACTTAAAATGAAAAAGCTCCCTTATACACTATCCTTCGGGGTAGGTGTGTAAAAAAGGAGGTATGACAATAATACTTCATATACATCTCTATAACAACATCCTTATATAACAACACTTCTCTATAAAAGCCAAATTTTTCCGGAACCGAATCTCATGTTCTATTATAATATATATTTTTTTATAATAATAATTCGCTATAATATTAAAAAATATCCAGAATAAACGAAACTGTTATAGAGAGGTTTGACTGTATATATAAAACTTTGACGTTAAAAGTAAAATATGAAGTTTAAGTTAGAATATTTTCTAAAAATTTAAAAATAATCATTCTCTTTGGGAATATATGTATAAGACAAGTCAACTGAAAAAAGTCAAACTTGGAGCTTTCATAGAAAACAGGTTGAAATCTATTTTTGAGTTTCAACAAACACGGAGAATTAGAGATGGTTTTGAAAAATTAAAATCAAAACTAACCAATTTCTAATCTTCTAGGCTAGAGTTATAATTGGCTTTTTCTTAAAGGAAGAAAACAGGATTCCTTTTGCTTATTGACTATTGACAACCTTGAATAATCTTTTATTTCTTGTTTTTCATGCTCACTAAAAATAAATATGTTTAATCCCTTTTTCTTATAATTTTTAATTACATAAAACGTCTATATTGTTTAGAGTTATAGAAATTCTCAAGAAGATAGATTAAAAAAATAAAATAAAAGTCAAGTCCAATCTCTTCCCAAAACAAATTCTTCCAATTTATAAATCTATTTAAATTTATTTTTCTAATAAAATCCAAATTGGCAGATTTATTCTTTGAGAACCTAATTTAACGCCAATTCGTTAAGTAATAATTTTCCAAAGTCAAATTCAAATGTGTTAAACTTTTAACAAAATAATTAATATTAAGTATAAAATAATTAAATTACAAAATTTAAATGAAGGGGTAATTTTTCTTTTTAAATATTTGCCATATATAAAGCGACAGACAAAATTGTCCACGTGAAAATCAGTTTGATTCCACGAGCTTTTAGGTGCGCGTGTACATCACGTACCCCACCGTGTTTATTTTCTTGTCCCTCTTCTGTTCTCCTCCTCTTCGCCGTTTCCAACTCAACAACTCTCTCTGTTTCAGCTTCTTCTTCTTCTTCTTTAACAACACCTCTTAAATCACAGCCGTTGATCATAATTACAGGTCTAGATGTGTGTGTATATATACACAAACACACACATTTAATCCTGTATTACACTAAACCTCTTTGAAAAAGCCTTGCCTCTTTTCTCTTACCAAGATTTAGCTTTTTCTCTGCCAATCCCTTTTATTGGTATGTTTCCAAATTCCCCCTTTTTCATTTTCTTTTATATTTATCTTTTTTTTTTGTTGGGTTATTAATGTTCTTTTAGGTATGTGGATTTCTGAGGGTTCCATTCTTTTTCTTTTCTTGCAAAATTTAAGGTTATATTTATTGGTTTGAGCGCAGAAACAATAGAAAGTTTTAAAATATAAGACCCTTTTGGATTTTTTGATCAATTTTGAAAATTTCGTGTTAAAATTTTGATCTTTTTCTTTTTCATATTAAGTAATGATATTCCAGAAATTTCAATGGGGGTAGTCTGGTGACTCTCTTGGTGGTGATGGTGGTGTGATTTCTGTTACGGGGTAGGGCTAATTGATAATTAGGACAATAAATTACTTTTTAATTACTAATTTTAGTGCTTAAAAATAAGTTATTGTTAAAGCTCGGAAGTTTACAAGATATAAATGAAGTTGGTGAAGAGAGAAAATTATGAGTTTGTATAGTATCATAAAGTTTGTTACAGTTCAGTGATTTCTGATAATGAAATTGTGGGATTGATTTCCATCTTTTGTTGTCGCGAAATAAGTCATATTTGATTTATGTGAGCCAATATACTAATTGTTTTGTACATTGTTTTTGTGAATTTGGTTTGTGTAATTTGCAAGGTTAAGATGGTTTTGATGATATATTGTAGTGAAGCTGCTTACTAGGCGCTTGTCTAGTCCGTGTGCTTCCTCTTCAGTCGACCATTCTTCAGTAAATGGGCTGCTTTCATTCTAAGGTTAAAAAGAAGTTACGTGGACACGAAGATCCTGTAGTCCTTGCGTCCCAAACAGCTTGTAAGTTACTAATTTGATGCTTTAAGTGTGTACATAATATGTGATACATTACTTGTCACGTGATTAAGCTCTTGTAATGAACAAGCAGAGCAATCGTGAAGATAAGTGTCTGTTGTTAGCTTCTTGTATTTGACAAGGAGGTTACTGTGGCTTTCTCCTGTCTTAAAGAGGTGGGACTATAGCTTGAGGTTTATTAATGTGCAAGGTGGGATGAGTTTGTGAGATTGATGATGAGGAAATATATGAAGTAGAGAAGGCTCCAGAAAACCTATTTAGAAAGATGAAAAATTTGAATGAGATGTCATGTTAAAAAAATAAATGAAACATGGACTTCTCGTGATCTTTCTGCGTTGTACTAAGAAATAAAACCAAAAGGTAGTAGGCTTATTATCTTTTGGTGCTGGGTTTATCCTTAGGTTCGTTGGTTTTGCACTTACCATCTTTGGTTTTAATTGCCTAAAGTCGAAGAGCTAAAACATTAGACAGTTGTAGTTTCAGCTTTATCCTGATTTTATTTAGTTATCACATATGTGACTGAAAAACAGTTTTAGTACTTACACTTTTTTAAGAAAAAGGTTGTGGTGCTTATATTTTCTCCAAGCACTCCAATTGGGATTCCGTTCGAGTACCCTATATCTCCTACATTCCTTTACTTATTTGTTCTACCTTTCTCTTGTTTTTCTGCTTTTGCAGTTAGTGTTAGCGAAGTAGAAGCATTGTTTGAGCTGTTCAAGAGTATCAGTAGTTCGGTAATTGACGATGGGCTAATAAGCAAGGTAATTCTGCTAAACTGGTAAATGTTTTCTTGTTTGCTTTTAGTGTAAGGTTGTGATTCCTGGTGCATCCTTTCAGATGAGTTTTACGAGTTATTACTTGCAGAACTAGGCATATGTTCTCTCTGTCTCTGATCATCAACTTGTTATGTTGTTCTCTTTTTCTGTTTCCTTTTTTTTCACTTAAAGGGGTATGTTTTGGAGAATATTTCAGCCTGTGACAAGAATTTGAAAAGGCATTTGTTATTTATGGTGTATTCCAAAACATGCATTTCTAGAAGGAAAAGTTTTGAGAAAGTTCTCTTGACAATGCCCTAAGGGGAATCTTGTTTTCTTTATTGTCATTGGTGTAATCCATCCAATGCCCTAAAGTTTTTATTCCTAGATATTTAGTTTTGTGTGGTCTATCACATCCCATACTTAAGGTTCTTGAAAAGTTGTGTTTACTGAAACCATAGTGCAGTAGATAGTTGAAGCATCATACTCGGGCTTTGTTCCTGTCTTTCACCAAATTCAGCATTACATAATATCTGTACTCTTTGTAGGTGATTTCATTGTATAATTAGTGACCACGTTGTTATGTAATTACTTACTTATTTTCTTAAAAAAACGACATTCGTTTCCTAGTTATTGAGTTTCGTGTGGTCTATCATAATATATACTTAAAGGTCCTGGGAAGTTGTACCTACCGTGGTGAGAGGTAGCAGGTATCGGATGGATTACACCATTGTTATTTAAAAGAGGAAGGGTCCTCCTTGGAAGTTAAAGAATATTAAATGCATGGTAGTAGTGACTGAAGCGTCATTTATTTATATTGGTAGTGTTTGGGCTAGTTTGCGCACGCCTCGGCTAATTGACTAGACATCCTGTTTTGCACACAACCACATGTTACTAAGGTATTTCTACCCACCAAGGTTATAGCCAGGTGGGTTCGCATCCAGTATTGTAGGTGGGATTAGAACCTGGAACCTCCAAGCTCTTAATGCCCCTGATCAACCCTTGACCATCTCCTCAGAAACATGGTTGAAGCATCATATCCTAGTTTTGTTCGCTAATCTTTTAACTTATTGCAAATTCAACGTTATGTAATCTAGTGCATCTCTCCTTTGAACAATATAACTGCGTGGGATATCTGGCTCCCGAATCTTCAACTGATGATAGCCTGAACGCAAGTCAATCTTAGAAAACACACAAGCACCCTGTAACTGATCAAACAGCTCATCATACGGGGC